CACGATTGGTGTTGGTACCATCAGTTGATTGATCATTTCACACAACTCATCTGGTTGTATGTTGCTCGAGATGTGTGTCTTGGTAAGGACTTTCTCGATCTAGGCTCTGTGTGCTGGTGAATTGGCGAGTAGCTCCAGGATGGAGATTTGAGCCTTGATCTTTCCGAGATGAGCTGATAGATCGTAGATAGTTGCAAATCCTTGAATTTCCTTGTTCGGCTTGTGATCTACGACCCCCGCTGGTTGTTTGGTTTTTTAGGTATTTCTCATTCTTTCATCAAGAGTATCGGCCATTAATTGAATGGGTTTGAATACTCTGCCTCTTCGGGTTCAGGAGTCGAACTCGTCAGCTTGAAGCTCGATAGGGTCAGCCCTAGCAAGAGTAATGGGAGACTTTGGGGTGTTGGTCCCTTGTTTGGAAGATGACGCATTTTCATTGGTCCTAACCATATCAATCTCTAGTGTGTCATCTTATTCCTATCGGTCCCATTTGGGAAGGTAATCGAGGTTTGAGATGAAGGGTTGCCTCTTAGGAGGCTCAAAAGATTTTCTTCGGGTTCTTGAAAGCGATGATCATAAGCCAATATGAACTGACTGGGATCCTCTTCTTCGTCTCCACACTCAATCATGTGAATGATAACGTTCTCTTTCGAGTCTTCTTGAGCTCCAGTTTTTCAGTCGTTGTAACCATATTTTTAGGGAGATGATTTGTAAAGATACTCATCTTTTGATTAGGCTCTTCGAAAGGTTGATTTTTAGGCGAGACAGTGATGTCCCCCTATTGATTAACCCTTGAATCACCCGTTTCAAAGATATGCAGTTTTGAGTATCATGAGCATGGTTTTGATGCCATTTGCACCACCTGCTCTTATCCGTGACATTAAATGGTGGTTCAAATGGTGGCGGGAGATAAACTATATTCTTAGCCAAGAGTAATTCCAATACATTTTCTAATGGGTATTTGCGAGGGGTGAAATTATCCTCTTGCCTTTGGTTATTATTTTGAGCATTGACTCTAGGCTGACCCATTCGGATTTGATTCTTATTGTTGCGTTGAGCAGCTGAACCTTGAGCTGATCAGTTAACGACGATCTCATTAACCTAACTGGAAGCATTCCCCTTGTTTTTGTTCTTATTTTGGGGAGCCATTATCGACTTTTTGTCAAGCTTGGTGCTGAGGGGTGTCCCTCTTGCCCTTTCATGTCGCACCACCCCCTTGATTATGGAGTCGAAAGAGTGGGGGATAAGACCTTGGCTAAAGAAGGTCCAGTACTCAAGAGCAGCATTCTCTAAGACTATGGAGATCTTCACTGGGTCTGTAAGTGGACATTCTATGACCTGCATTGCTGCCTCGTGGAATCGACCGATGAAATCCTTGAAGGATTCTCCTGGGTTTTGTTTTGTTGCACTAAGTTCGCCCAGGGAGAGAGGTCTTGGTGTCGACCCGCAGTAGTGAGAGACGAATAGGCTGAACATTTCATCCAGAGTGATGTGTGGTCGAGCGGACATTGTTCACCGATGCCAGTTCAAGGCCTCATCGGTCAATGTTTGTGAAAAGATGGCCTTCAGTTGGTTAGGCATGTCTCGCAAAGATCGAACGAAGAGGAGGTACGCATTGACGTGAGTATCTGGATCGCTCTTCCCATTGAACTTGTTTCTAAATTCTGTGATG